TGATGTGTATAATTGCCTTCGCTTGACAGAGTGTTCTGTTATGAAGTTGCCACAAACTGATCAGGTTCCGGTTTAAGTAATCGGTCCCCGGGCATTGCTCACATCAGGAGTCGGCAACCCGCAGCTCTGGAGCCACATGTGGCTCTTTCATTCCTCTGCTGCAGCTCCCTGTTGCCGGTCGGCTCCCCAATTGATAGGGCTTTCGGTTAGGACAGGGATGCCATGCTAGGAGGAGACTCTATGGTGGGGGGAACCGGACTTCTGGTGAGTTCCAGAATTGAACGGGGCTTCCGGTTAGGATTTTTGTGGCTCTTTGAGTGTTTAAGGTTGCCAACCCCTGACCCACATCCTGGTGGACAACTTCCCTGCCATCAGCCTTGCTGCTGGTCCTTCTGGTTATGGCCTCAGCTTTCTCATTTTATCCCATGTTGGGACAAATTGGTGACATAAACTGTGCACCACTTTAATTCTGTTGACCTCAATTGTCCACTTTCCAACGCCGCTAAGCAGGCAGCTTAAAACCCAATTCCTCCCGTTGCTGCAAATGCATTGCAAAAAGTCCCCCTAGGTGGCTTAAAAAGGGAGACTTGCCAACTGGGGACATGGAAAAAAAGAGAGGTGTCCAGTCATTAAAAGAAGCGCATGAAGCTATCAGTCAACACATATATCCTCATTGCTTCTTCTTGTCACAAAAACTTGGGAGACAAAGAGGGATGAGGCGTATTTCGTTAAAAAGAAGGGAAGTCCTAAAACGTTTCCTACGATTTAACGTTGTTCCCCTACTGGTTTCCTTGTATCTTTTTAGGCATAGACATAATTGGGAGTATTACTGAAGAATGGAAGGAGGGGATTTTTAAACAGCTTGGCTTAGTTAATTGCAAAGGTGTGATTCAGAGATGCAGCTCACAGATTGGAACCCATTCTTATCAAGTCAGAGGAGAAAGCCTATTCATGTTCATTCTTTTAATATCACCAATGTCAAACACCGTTCAGTTTGTTCCCTGGTTTGGTTTTTGGTGCAGAGATTTTTTTAAAAAATAGAAATAAGAAATCCGGATAAAGCCATATTTATCTACCTGTAGCAAAAGTAAGTGTAGCCGGATACATTCAGAAATGAATGTATGAACGTGTCTGAGATAATTACGTCTTGCTGTATCAGCTTATTCTAGGCTAAGAGAAAAGCTGCACAGTGCCAAAGAGGAGAGGATCAGGTGGTCTGGGGAGATGAAGAAATGTATTTTTAACAAATTTAACAATTAGTGGAGGGAGTATGGAAATGGCAAAAATACACCCTCCTGAATCTATTCATAAGCGTCTATAAACATGGACGTCAAGATCAAAAACAATTACATGCCTGTTCACTAGGTTTCTTTTTTTTTAATATTTTTATTTTTATAATAACAACAAAAACAAACAAAACCTTCTTTCTGTTCATCAGTGTGTCAGTTGGGTACACATTTCTTTGTGCATATAATAACATTACCATACATATTTTACTTATATATCTTTATACTCATTCTAAGTATTTTATATCACATATATCACTTATTATATTAGCCTTAACATTATATTTATCGACTTTCATTAATATATTTCACATTCATTTTCTTACTCTGTCTAACTCATTCAATTATCAGTAATAGATATTATACTGTACTTATATATTTCAATTTCTTACTCTTCTATCTAGCCATTCATAAAATAAATTCCAAATTTTATCATAATCTTTTTCCTCTTGTTCTCTAATATTCACTAGATTTCTATCTGGCCTTTCAATCAGGAACTTCAGGCAGCAAATGTTCCTTCCTTCCATAATCTCCAACAACCACTCTGAGAGGTAAAATGGGCTAACAGTGAATAACTGCCCAAAATCCCCCAGGGAGTTTTGATGGTTGAGTGTCAACTCAAAGTAGAGTCCTTCTACTTCTAGTTGGGCATCTTCACCACTACTCCACCTTACAGATAGACCTCTAATTACAACTCTCCATTTGGTGACCATTCAAAGTTACAATGGCACTGAGAGGTGGAGGAGGAGGAGGAGGAGGAGGAGGAGGAGGAGGAGGAGGAGGAGGAGGAGGAGGAGGAGGACGACTATGTGGTCCTTGGGGCTCAAAGCTTGGTTGTTTTCTTGCAGAAATTTAATTCCTATATAACTCATAAATAATACTGGATCAAACTAGATAACATTATCAATGTTAGTACTTTCTTATTCCATTCTTATTCCCGCTTTTCTTCTAACCCAACGTCATCACATGAAACCCAAAGGTGTTGAGAAAGATGTTCCTTCAAGGTCTTAGCTATAAACTCATTGAGTTGCCACCCATCCAATGATTATTGCAAGGTGCAGTTGAAGAGGGGGTGAGAGGCAACGACAGCTCAAACTAAGTCATCAATGTTCTTGGACTCAAAGAAAACAATTCTCAGAAGATCCTTTCTTTTTTTCTCCCTCTCTCTCTCTCTCTCTCTCTCCTCCCATGCACAGCTAGGGAGAACTTCAGCAGCCTCTTTTTCTCTTTTTAAAAAGACAATTAAGGTAGAAGCCAAAAGGAAAGGTCAGTGCCATAAAAATGCCATTTGTCTGAATAAAGATGTTCATGGAATATCTTACTGGCCTTTGCTAGACCCATTATCGTTGGCATTCAAAGAGGAAAGGGCAGCTGAGAAAGCAAATTTTGAATCCCTTTCTGTTTTTAGACCCAGGGGGAACATTTTTAGGTTTAAGTGGACCACGCCCCCTTGGTCCACCCCATAGGCCATTTTTGTACCCATGTAGAGCAAGTGTCATCGTCAAAATCCATGTGCCTCTTTTGGCCATCAGCCCCAGTTGAAATACAGGCAGACAGCTGCTCCTGCACTTTTTTTATGTAGCTATTAGCTCTATTAGCTCTATACCCGATTTGTGGTCATAAGTCAAGGACTACCTGCAATGTCGTGACCATCCAAAATGAGTTAATTCCAGAAACACAGATGCCATGAAGAGTCTCTATGCACCTTCCCGGCCAATATCAGCAACGGCCTTAGTCCAGTTCTCACAGCTCTGTCGTGCATTTCCCGTCATTCATATTTTAATCAACGCACAGTTATTTTTGGCTTCTTAAGCTCAAGTCGGATTAATCTAATTCACACAAATTAGATCCATTCATGTCACCCAATTTTCTTCTTCAACACCTCCAAAAAGCAACAGCCAGGAAACAACTATGAAGGCATCAATTAAAAAGTGGCGGTCTTAAAATACTCCACTGTTCAAAGACGGACAACGTTCTCCACGAGAAGAGGGAGACAAATCCGTCTGCAGACAACGAGGCAGCACAGATAAAAAAAGATGATTGAGAAACAAGGCCTACTTTAAAAAAAAAACAACACCTTTTTTTCAGGAGGTCATCAGGGAGTGGTGAAGAATTGCTCAAAGAAGCTTTTTCCCCCCCATAAGATCAATGCAGAAGTTTCCATTTTTGAAACCTGCACTGAAAATATAAACATGCAGCAGTCACATCTTGCTCCTCTGATTTACATTTGCATTTTCACAGTCAATGAAGGAACCCTGGATGTCGTGTGTGTGTGTGCGTGTGTGTGTGTGTGTGTGTGTATTTTAATGATCCAGAGTCTTAAAACTTCCTGCATTTTAGTTTAATGTATTAGTTGCTTTTAGTGACCAAAGTTTCATAGCTAACCATTGACAATCATCCAGCTCTGAGATCTCACTCAAAGCAGCAGCTTTGATCTAAATATTTACCATTATTCCCCAGTAGGTTTTGCACTGGGTTTAGCAGTACATTTATTGCTAATGAAGTGGAGAAAAAAAACCACAATTCTGACAAAGCGTTGGAAAGTGTTCTTCCAAATTTCACCACGCACTGTTTTTCCCTTGCTGGAAACCTTTTCCAAAATAATTGATTAATAAGTCAGAAATTCAGATATATATTTATACCAGCCATGTCCCCCCAAAAAACCTGATTGAAATACTAAACAGAACAAAACGGATACACCACAAATATATTGCAGGTCTACAATGAGTTATGATGTTCACTGCTGTCACCAAGACCTGGTTACAATCCTTAGGATTTGGGCTGTCAGAAAATTCTTTTCCCGTTTTCAGGAAAATCCACAGCAATCTTTATAACAAATGCAACATGTTGAAAATTAAGTCCTGCTGAGATATACAACCTCCAAGACAACATGTGTTTGGTTTGGATGCCTAAAAGGTTTATTTGCCCTTCCTGGTTCTTGAAGTGAGTTCTGATTGAAATACTTGAAAAGCATTTTGTGTAAAAACCAATACTTGAAAACCACGGTGTGGGAGTAGGAATGGATTTCCAGAAGAAAAATGGCAGACTACAGGAACCAGGAGCACCACTCAAGTGACTCCAAGGACACAGCTCGATCTCCAAGTGGCCTCAATGACTCTCTAAAAAGGATGCAAAGGACCAGCTGTCTGTAAGGAATATAATTCCTCCCATTCTCCACCATCCAGTCAGAGCTAAAGAAGCTTCTTGGATGAGAAGCAAAACCTCTTCAAAAGAAAAAGGAATTCCAAGTAGGCTCCACACCCATTGTACTACTCAGGTGACCCTGAGGACACAGATAAAGCTCCAAGTGGCCTCAATGACTCTCTAAAAAGAATGCAAATGATCAGCTATCTGCAAGGAGTATAAATCCTTCCATTCCCCACCATCCAGTCAGAGCTGAAGAAGCTTCTTGGATGAGAAGCAAAACGTCTTCACCAGAAGGAAAAAAAGCCAGAAACCTCTTGAAAAAAAAAACACCTTTGGGACAACCTGAATGACTGAGAATCTGTACAGACTTTAAAACAACTCAATTGCCTTTTTAAGAGGTCTAGCAAAAAGATACGCTGATGTGAAACCACCAGAAATAAAACACCGAAGGTCAGAATTTGGCCAATTCTTAGCGCTGGATTTTAGCAAGGCAAGACAAAGTCAATCTCTCACGGGCTTAAGGAAGTCCAAGGACACCGAGCGAAACACCGATGCCGTCACACTTACGTAAGTTATTAGCAGGTGCTCTGGTCTCCATGTTCTCGTAATTCTGCATGTGAACCACAATGTTGAGATCGGTTTCCATGTGATCTGCGGTGCAGGCACCTTCTGGTCGCATCACGTCAGCCAGAGCTCTGAGAAGTTGTGAAAAGAGAAGAGAATTAAGTTCATGCACCTCACAAATCTTATTCCAGATGCAAGTGACACACAACTCAAATCTGGGCATAGAGAACCATTTTATACTGTGCTCAGTTTCTGGATTGGAAAATAGAGAGGATGTTTTTTTCTGAATTTTTCCAGGAAAGAAATTATCCTACCCCACGTAACAATAGCAATAGAGTTTTAGACTTATATACCGCTTCGTGGTGCTTTACAGCCCTCTCAAAGCGGTTTACAGAATCAGCATATTGCCCCCAACAATCTGGCTCCTCATTTTGCCCACCTTGGAAGGAGGGAAGGCTGAGTCAACCTTGACTCAGTTAGGATCAAACTCCTGACATTGGGCAGACTTAGTCTGCAATGCTGCATTCTACCCACTGTGCACCATGGAAGGAAGGAAGGGAGGGAGGGAGGGAGGGAGGGAGGAAGGAAGGAAGGAAGGAAGGAAGGAAGGAAGGAATAGCAATAGCCCTTAGACATTTTTTAAATAAAATTTTATTTCAGTTTTCACATTTTAAAAACATCTTTTTTTTTAGTGAACAGCATAATTCCAGGTTATCCCATTTACATACAAACATGACTTTGATTAAATACCCATCTTTCACATTGCTTCTTGTCCTGCCTTCAGGTGCTTTGGAAAATAAATTGTCCCCCTCTTCTTTGTGGCAGCCCCTGAGATATTGGAACACTGCGATCATGTCACTCCTAGTCCTTGTTTTGACTAGGCTAGACACACACCAAATTCCTGCCACCGTTCCTCATATATTTTAGTCTCCAGGCCTTAGTTGCTCTTCTCTGAACTTTTTCCAAAACGTGCACCCTTCAAGCCAGCTTCTGATAAGTGAAGTCAACGCAGGAAGCTAGATCCGCTGAACGACTGCATGGTTCACTTCACCACTGCAAGGATTCGCTGAGCAACCCTAGCAAAATCAGGGTGTGATTGTAAAATCAGGTGTGACTCACTTAACAAGTGAGTCCGGCTTCACCATGGACATTCAGGTCAGAGGTGGGTATTCAGCCGGTTCTGACCGGTTCTCACGAACCGGTAGTGGAAATTTTGAGTAGTTCGGAGAACCAGCAAATACAACCTCTGACTGGCCCTGCCAACCCCATCTATTCTCTGCCTCCCGAGTCCCAGATCACCTGGGTCTCCTTTGGTTGCCCTGCACAGGAGAACGGAACTGGAAAGCAGGTTAGGGGAATGGGGAGGGAATGGGGGTTTTGCAGTAACCTTCCCCTGCCACGCCCACCAAGCCACGCCCACAGTAAAAAAAATTGCATCCCACCACTGATTCGGGTCCCATTGTGGTTGTACATTGAGGACTAGCTGTACTGCAGAAACTCAACAGGAAATATTCTCAAGCTGAAGTTTTTTTTCTTTCTTTCTTTGGAACTGAAGGACACGCAGTAAACAAGAAAAAGCATCAAACCACCACAGGGAGGACCGTGCCAAGAAGGAGGCGACAACCCTCAGCAACCTTGTAACTGAAGAAGTAAGCAAAAGCTCTCATTTTCCACTCTTGTGAAAAATAATCAGGTGTTCTCTTTTCTTTTAAACGAGGCATTGAAAGCAAATCCTGTGATATTGGAATGGAAGAGAAGTGGGGATGGAATAAAAAGCAGGTTTTTTTCTCTCTCAGTGCCCTCCCACTCTCTGGCTTTTGCCTCAGTGCTGGTGAGAGAATCTAGATGTTTGCATTTATTTAAAAAAAAAAAAAACTACCCCCAAAGTTGGGGCTTATTGGGGATGACAGCACTGGAGTTCCAGAGTTCCAGAATTGAACTTTTAGCAAAAGAAGAGGAATGAAATAGGTTGTTTTGAAAGAACAACGCTTCTTCGGTTTTTCTCAAGTTTCTGAATATTCAGATTCCTTAAGGAAAATGAGAAAAGCATAAACTTGCCTGATAGGAGAAGGGGAAGGGGAAAGGAAAAACAAAAGGGAAATTTTAAGGGAAAGACTCAGAATAAGTTGAGGAGCTGAGAAAGTTGAAGAAGCAGCAACAGATCAAGAGAGCTGTAGTGTTGGCCTACATAATGGAGAAAAATCACAGAACTGGCCACAGCTTCAAAGAGCTGAGTAACTAATCTGCTAACAGGGAAATTATACTGCGATCTGCAGTTCTCGGCAGAGTCTAAATCACGGGGGGGGGGGGGAAATAACACACAAACACCTGCCCACAAAGCCACAGTCAATTACACCAGGTTTTTGGACACATAAAAAAAAGGTTGTTATAAATAGGTTAAAATCTCTATAGAATAACAGCGTTGGAAGGGACCTTGGAGGTCTTCTAGTCCAACCGCCTGCTTAGACAGGAAACCCTATAACATTTCAGACAAATGGCTGTCCAATCTTTTCTTAAAAACTTCCAGTGTTGGAGCATTCACAACTTCTGAAGGCAAGCTGTTCCACTGGTTAATCTCACTATCAGTAAATTTCTCCTTAGTTCTAGGTTGCTTCTCTCCTTGATTAGTTTCCACCCACGACTTGTTGTTCTCCTTTCAGGTGCTTTGGAGAATAGCTTGACTCCCTCTTCTTTGGGGCAGCCCCTGAGATATTGGAACACTACTATCATCTCATCCCTAGTCCGTCTTTTTATTCAACTAGACATACCCAGTTCCTGTAACCATTCTTTATATATGTTTTAGCCTCCAGTCCCCTAATCCTCTTTGTTGCTCTTCTCTGCACTCTTTCTAATGCTGGCAATCTGTTTATCAGAAGAACAGGAAGTGCAATAACAAGCTAAATTTTATTTTCAAATGGGAACAGAATAAATAAAAGGCACCTTTACAGGTAGTCCTTGACTCAGTGGTGGGATTCAGCCAGTTCTCACCAGTTCGGGAGAACTGGTTGTTAACTGTCTGAGCAGTTTGGTGAAATGGTTGTTGGTAGAAATCACTAGATCAAGGAACCGGTTGTTAAATGATTTGAATCCCACCACTGCCTTGACTTACAATCACAATTGAAGGTAGAAAGGAAAGAGAGAAAGAAAGAGAGAAAGGAAGAAATTTCTGCCTCTCAAAGAAAGATTTGTGCCTCTCCCAAATCATAGGAAAATGAGCAGCTACACAGAAAGAGAAGCCGAGCTAAATAGATGTCAAAAAAAACACACACACACAACCCAAGCAGTGCTCATGGCATGAATTATAGCTGAACTCCTCCAGTTTTCTCTGCCTTTTTGGATGGGAAAGCCTTCTGAATCCTCCTTGGCAGAGCTCCCATGTTGGTGGAGATATTCCCACACGGCTAATGAGTAACACCAAATTCTTCTATCCGCAAAGTATGATGGATGTATCACATTTTTTTCCTTTGGGGTATATTTTGAATCATGCTTTAAAGCAGAAATAGTCAATCATCAACCTTGTATGATCTAGGCTCGGTTCAGATTCTAAGTCAAGAAGGTTGATTCAACCAGGGTTTAATGAATAGACAACCCAGGCTGAATTCAGACCCCAAGCTAAGCCACACAAGGAAACAATCTTTATTTCGGTTTAGTTTGATGTTGGGTTCTTGAAAACCTTGTCTTGTCTTCTTATAGATGGTCTTGCAGAAGTTTCATCACCAGAGTTGGTGAGGAGAAGTCTGCCAGAAGGAAAGATGGTCCAGAAAACACCAAGAACCCAACAATATATAGATCACCCAGGCTACATATTTGTTCTCCGTTAGTGTGATGTATCAGCCCAACTTTTCAGCGGGGACTCAAATCCTTAGGAGTGTTTATCTCGAAGAGCAGATTACAGCCACATCTGGGAGAAAAGTTAAGGAGGAAAATGAGGCTGGGCAGATAGCCAGTTGAGCCACAAGAGAATGGTGCCAGAGCAAAGCTTACAAACAAACAAACCAACATCCTCTCTGCTGCTTTCCCCTCCAGCAATGTAACTCACAGCTTCTTCTTCTTTTTAATTTTGATTCTTCCAATTTTCAGGTCTTTAGGAGTCGGACATTTTTGCTGAACTGTTGCAAATCATGGAGAGGTCCACTGTGGATCATAACTCCCCTCGCCTCCTCACCTGTTGGCCTGGTTTACCCCATACACTAACCCTCCACTAGTTGCTGCATTTATAGAATATGTTATGCCTATTGAAATAAACCTTATTATGGGCTGGGGTCTTCCAACCTGGGGTGGTGGGGTGGCTCAGCAGTTAAGATACCCAATGGGTATCCTGGCAGTTGGAAAGCCAGTTCGAGAGCCAAGCATCATGTGATGGAGTGAGTTCCCATTTTTGCCTCAGCTCCAGCAGTTGGAAAGCATGCAAATGCGAGTAGATAAATAGGTACCACTTCAGTGGGAAGGTAACAGCATTCCATGATGTCATGCTGGCCACATGACCCCCGGAAATGTCTTCAGACAGTGCTGGCTCAATGACCTTGAAACATAGATGAGCACCACTCCCTAGAGTCAGCTTCAATTAGCGGAGTAAAATTCTCAGGAATTCCTTTAGTAATAGCAATAGCCCTTAGACTTATATACTGCTTCACAGTGCTTTCCAGCCCTCTCTAAGCAGTTTACAGAGTCAGCCTGTTGCCCCCAACAATCCGGGTCCTCATTTTACCCACCTCAGTAGGATGGAAGGCTGAGTTAACTTTGAGCCGGTGAGAATGTCAACATGGCTTTTCAATATCTCAACTTTCAACCTAGCTCAGACATTTGATATATGATTTTATTCTTCTTTAAACTACACTCATGGAGCTCGTATCTTCCCTTATGTGAGTTCTAGACTCACTTAAGGCATGAAAGCTGGCTGGGTGACTTTGAGTCAATCATCAGGAGACTGTGAGTTCTAGTCCCACCCTAGGCACAAAAGTTGGCTGGGTGACTTTGGCCAATCACCAAGAGATTGTGCGTTCTAGTTCCACTTTAACCATGAAAGGCAGTTGGGTGAGTTTGGGTACAACTATAAGTCCCTCTTTGGAGGAGAAGGAGAGACAGAGCCTGAGGGTGGAGTCAAGAGGGCAATCAGCCTAGAGTAGTTATG